CACACACACACACACATTTCTGCTGCAGACTTTCTGTTGATTTAGGCTGATGTGTCTGCCCTGTTAAACTATGAAAATCCAACATGGAAATTCAAATGATGTTAGATTTCTTTAATCAAACTGAAGGAGGCGTTGAAGTAGGCATAACAGAGGATATGGAATTAAATCAGAACAAAGTGAATCTGACTGTGAAAAACAGAGATGAATAGTTTTAAGGGTTTTAACCAATAGAAGTAAAAACATAAAAAATGGATAATAAGAATAACAATAATAATGACAACAAAATCCACAGTAATCTATGCTGCAGTACACATGTTATTCATTAACTATTAGTAAATTCAAATCAGTTCTTTTGTGATTTCTGTGTTTGAAATCCTTTCTTCAGATTCACCCGGTTAATCACACAGGAGTCAAACCATCAACCTCTCAGGGGTCAGATGTCATGTTTTTGCAGTTTGCCCATGCCTGATCTAAACCATNNNCCTGCTGCTGGTGCTTTCTTGAGGAAGTCTACCAAAGGTTTTTGTCAACCAAGCCTAAAACCTTCCATCCCCACTCCCCCTCTTCCTCCCACTGTCATTGTCTCCCACCTCAGCAGCTACAGTTCTGACCATTGTTTCACCTAAAGCTCCTAAACTATGGCCCTGTGGGCCCCCATGATCCTCCAGGGCTATGGGCTCTGCCCACCGCCTTCGGACCCCCGCTGCACATAGTTTTTGGAAAGGTAGTCCCGTGAGGTCAGAAGTAGTGGGAGTCGGAATTGATAAAAGCTGAAGCAGCAGCAGCAGGAGGAGGAGGAGGAGGAGGAGGAGGAGGAGGAGAGCTGATCTGAAGCACAGTGTCAGAGATGAGATTAAATCCAGTGAACTAGAAATATCCTGGACTCCAGTGCACTAGTACACACACTTTTACAGTTGTTTGGTGGTTTTTTTTCCCAACATGATGGCAGCCACCGGTGATCATGTGCATCCACCCCCCCACCCCTCCACCTCAACTCCCTCAGGCAATTTGTTCACTCACATTAAATGCCCCTGTTAAATCGGTGACCATAAAAACTCAGCCCATATAAAGTATTGTGTCCACCACGGAGGATTTCAGATTCAGAACTCTGTTCTCAGTGACGACCACGTCTCTGGTTTTTAATTACCCCGTCTTTCTACATCTTTTCATAATTACTCACTTTTTTCCCCCCTGTTTTCCTTTCATTCTGCAGTGGTTAACAGTCACCGCGTCGCTCCATTGTTTACTCTTTATCTACTCAAGGCAGTCTTACGAAACATTTGGAAAAAAAAAATAAAGTCTGACTCCTATTAGGTCTGTGTTTATCTTCCCAAACCACAGCTCTACCACTCACTTTTCCTACTGATTACATTTGCATTTAAATGTAAAGCATTTTGTTGTGGCTGATGTTCCCGGCGATATCGTAGCAGCCTGTTTGACATTCACGGTGGAGACTACCACAGCCGAGCACAAAATGTTACCGAATCTTGGTGAATACAGTATCAACCTTAATGTGTTCCTCATTAAGCCAATTAGCTTCTAACCTGCTCATTACGATGTGTTCCTCATTAAGCCAATTAGCTTAACTTGCTAACTTAGTCAACCATTCGTTGGCTAACTATTAGCCACTCTTAAACAGCTTTTTACACATCACCAATCAGTATTGGGTTGGCTAACTATTAGCCACTCTTTTTACACATCACCAATCAGTATTGGTTTAAAGAAATATAATAGTAAACTGTTAAATAATATTGTCACATTTAAAGATGTATTACTCACAAACGTATCCACCTAGCATGGTTAGGCTAAGCTAACCTTGTCTATATAACTATAGGTTTCATAACTAGCACCACGTGCTCAGCGTTGAGTCCCCCGGCCCCGGTCTGGAGCATGTTGCTGACTGTTCGGTGACCTATTCGTAGCCCTGCCACCCAGCTCTCTGCCTCCCAGCCACAGAATGCGGGTCGATCGGCATCACAGCAGCTCCAGCAGGCGAGCCCAGCAGGCACGGGCTTTGCCAGTGATGCTGGAAAGCAAGCGAGTGCAGGGAGACCCTTTGTGTGATTTTTAGAATTACAGCAGCAGTTGTTCGCAGCAGACAGGGTGTCGAGTCTGCCCTGTTGTTTACAGCCCTGCTCTTTATTCCATTCTTCAGTTGTTGTTGTGGGAAATGCCACGGGTTTGATATGTGGCAGCGGGAGGTATGTGTTCTGTTCACACAGAAAGACTCTCTAATGTCACACTGTAATATGACTTCTGTGATCAAGACATATCAAGGTAGCACACCTCTCTCAAAATGTTTATATATATATATATACAAATAAATAAATAAATATATATGTACATATATACAAATAAATAAATATATGTATATATATACAAATAAAAAATAAATATATGTATATATATAAAGTATATATACTGTATATGTATACATACATATATGTATATTAACATAATGTATGTATGCATATACATGTATCCTATATATGTATATATACAGTATATATATCGTATGTATATGTATATATACATTTTATTCATTTATGTTTTATTTACATATACATACATATATGTGTGTGTGTTATATATGTATATATATTCTCTTTATGTCGTACAAGCTGCCGTGTCTTGTTTTATGAGGCGTAAAAGCAAAGATGCAACAACATCACAAATTACTTTTTTGTTACCCCATGAAAACCTGCTGGTCCCACTGTTTTCTTGTAGACATGTCACTTCTGGTTGTTCGGGGGCTGAGTAATGACCCAGCGAAGTCTCATCTGGCTGCCAGACTAAGCTGCTGTTGTTAGATGCATTTACGTGTCTGCGGTGGCACAGTCATTCAACACTTTTAGCCACAAAAAGAGCAAACAAATTAGGTCCAAACACCAGGCAGATGTAGGATTTATTTTTTTTGTAAAATATGACATGTAAAAGACATTTGGCAGCTGCGAAAGTGGATAAGTACTAGTGGGGACATGATTTAAGGTGCCTGTGTGTTAATTTATGGAGCAGTGTCTTGGCAAGCGCTTTCTTATTATGACTGTCAGAGAAGGACAGGGAGGCAGAACAGAGATGGGGGGGGGGGGGGTACCTCCACTAGAAACATCAGTGACAGATAAGTCAGGTTTTCTATCCGTATGTCAACATGAATATTAATGTCTGCAGACAGGTACGTGTAAGTAAAAAGGAAATGAGTAAGAACTGCCCTGGTCTCACAGTTAGGGTGAGATCACGATGTTAAAGAAACCAATTGCTTTGAGAACAGGGTTCTGCAAACTCAACTCCAAAAGAGCAGTTCACTGACATTCCAACCATTTAAATGATGGCAGGAGTGCAGTGTAGAAAAACTATGTGTACTGTAGTAGTACTACACATTTATATTACAAGTATGCATTTAGCAGACACCTTTATCCAAAGTTACTTACAAGAGGAGAATTAACCATCCAGCTTAGATTTAGTACGTTTTTAATATGTTTGCAATTAGCAAGCAAACTAACATGTAATGTGATTTGTAAAATCCCTGATTTGGATCCTTAAAACCTGCTACTATTTAAATGTGAGCTGGACATAATGTCAAACTAATATTTAAATGTGAGCTGGACATAATGTCTTGAAACAACAATCTTAATTAACTATTAATATACTATACTATAATAAACAGTATAATATGTCACAAAACATGGACTAAAACCTCATTCTAAAATGAACACAAATGTGGTTCAATGTTTAGAAGTTTCTGTCTCAGGCTCAGTGTTATCACAGTGCTATCATAAATGATCGTGATTATGTGATTTTAGTGATTTTCATCACTGTCCCAGAGGTAGAAATGTGAGACTGAGAAATTATTATTATTATTATTATAGTAACAATAATAGTAAAAGTTTCCAGCTGTAATTTTCGGATTCACTTTTGAACAAAGGAAGCTTCAGCTTTCGACTGTGTGGAGGAGTGAGGAGCTTTTCAACAGACCATCATTTCTAGTCAAATATATTAATATTTACATTGAGATTAGAGACATTGATAGAATAAAAATGTAATTTAAAATCAACAAATCAAGATTATAAGTTATTAATTTATCTCAAATATAGTGAGGTATTTAGTTCAGTCACGGGCTAACTGTTTGCTAGTTCTAAACGCTGACTGTTTGCTAGTAGTAGTGCTATAGTAGCTTGCTAGTAGTTGCGCTAACTGTTTGCTAGTGTCTTATAAAGTACTACTTCAAAAGCGTTTACATATCAGAGCCACATACAGAGACAAGCATCACTGTGACAGGACTCAGAGTGACACTTGGCTGAACCGTCAAATTAGTGATTTGTTGTCGGAGGCCATTTTCCAACTGATGTCATCTCATCTCTCAGTGAGAACGAGGGGAGAGCACAGACGGCAGTGGGAGTTTAGAAGCACACATTAAGCATTTGGCCCTTCAGCTGTTGCTCTCACATAAAGCTAAAAGTTCTCAGCGAATCATTGCGACATCTCAGTGTTATTATTATTATTATTATTACAGTAAAATAATGGGCCGTTAACAGCACTTTTATTTACCGCCGTGTTCACAGTGATGATAAAGAAGTGCTTCGAAGAGTGATGCCATATTTGTACTCAAATGTTGATGCTAAGCTAAAAAAGAAAAAGACTTATCTCAACTTTAATGGCAGCAGTAAAAGCAGCCTCCTCTTCCTGTTTATGTCATGAAACTATGAGGTTTTACTGGCAGATAAAATCAACACAAGTGTCACTGCATCTACAGTGTTGATATACGGGCTTTACATGAACAAGAGAGAGACGGTTAACGCTGATTATGAAGGAAACTCTTCATTAATCATTTTTGGAGGAAAATCCAGCTTCATAGCAGATCTAGGGGTTCCAGTAACATTTTATCTGAAACCATTAAATATATATTTTTAAACTATTCCAGAGCAAATATTATAGTGTATAAATCAAATTTATGCATTTAAAATATTTACAATATATACAATAACAAGTTAACAATCTTTTTTTTTTAGAATAAACCAAGAGTGACATTGATGCCTGTGAGAAATATAAAAATGTTGGAACAGAGAATTTCATCATTTATGGTGAAGTGCCTTTGGCTTAGATTTTAAGAACAGAGAGCCAAACAAAGACTTGACCGTTAGTTCTTGCAACCAGGTCATCACTGTGTCCTTAAAGAATACTTTTCTAGTTTTTAAAAAACAACACATTTTTCACCAGGGCCAAAATTAGGGAGTATTATTGTTATTGTACTGGGAAAGACTCAGGGAGTCAGTGACAAATGGAGTTGAGCCACGATGAATGGACCTGAGACCATAGAGGACACAGTGACATCAGCTTGGATACAGTATGTGATGATCGTGTAATACTGTCCACAGCTGTATCAAGGTCGACTGCATGCAAAGACGTGTGGAAATACCTTCTAGTCGTTAACTTTTCTATGATAGAAATACACTGTGAAGGTTTTTGTTAGTCATCTCTGTTTTTGAGAATGAGGACGAAATGAGTTGGTCACCGATGTCCCTTCCTCCGCCAGCGCAGACGCTGCTGTCAAACCACCTGACATGACATAACTGCTGGGGCCTTAGACAGACAGACAGACAGACACGTGAGTGAAATATTTTGTTCCCAGCAGCTTTTCTTCATCGTTCTCTCTCTCTCCTCCTCCTCCTCCTCCTCCAGCTGAAAGTGGCTGCATTCGTTCTGTGGGCGATGATGGACTGAGCGTGGTTATCTAACCCGCAGTGACAGCAACAGGAGCTTATGGAGTTACACACAGAAGAGAATAGAGCTGTCGAGGTGTCGAGCACATTGATGACTACACGTATGTGTGGGCTGCACACACACACACACACACACACACACACGCTGGCTCTACACGTACACCACCACCATTAACACATTGTTTTCATCTCCACACCACACACCACAGCTGAACCTGCTGGAACGACAGAGCAGAGACATTTTACAATGTTTTCTTGAAACATGGATTGGTTTTTTTTAACCATTTAATCAAAAGTTCAAACTGTTCAAAGCCTAACTGACTATATATATAGTCAGTTAGGCTTACTTTAGGTGATACGTTGGCTAATGTCTACTTAGTTTGGCTAACTGTGAGTTTTCCTAAAGCAAGTGGTTTCCAAACTGAGGTTTGAGGATTTATTTTTGGAGGAGAATTTCTTCCAATATATATATATATATATATTTTTTTTGGAGGTGAATTTCTTCCAAAATATTTATTTATTTATTTTTTTTGCCACAGTGGAGTTAAAGTTCACGGTTGTTTCAAGGCAATACCTGTAAATGGCCAGTAGTGGCCTCAGTTCTTCTTTTTGGAGCTCAATTTCTAGTATTGAATATTTAATATCCAAATAATACATACTGTAACAGTATAATAATACATAACTTCAGGTCCAAACATTAATTTAGTTTTAGTTCATCTGTTATATCAATAAATAAGAGTCTGGTTTAACTCAAAGAAAATTCAAATTTTTAGGAAAACAACACCTGCAGTGCTCACAGACATTGGACAGGATCAAACACCAGACCAAAACAAATTCCTTCAAAATAACACATTCACTGACGACCTTCCAGATGAACTGACAGCTGCTCAAATGTTTGCTAAAATCAAGGGTTTAAACTCAGCTTGGAGGAGCTGCAAGTTAAAAAAAAATAGAACTGGAGGGGGGTGAGGGGTGTTGAAATGCAGTCGCACCAACTATCTAAAACACACACACACACACACACACACAGCACAACAGCACACTTGCAGCATGGGACAATGTGTGCTGATAATAAACAGCATCAGGCAGACACCAAACGTGAAGCCGAGGAGCTGTGAGCTCCAGACGCCGCCGACGTCTCCCACTGGAGCCGAACTAACACAAAGAGCACTCTAGACACGAGCTCCAGATAAAATTAAAAAACAAAAAAAAGAAACAGAAACAGAGAGAAAAGCAGAGGAGATCCATTCTGTCAGGGCCCAGACTTGTACACACACACACACGAACCAATCACTAACGAAATTCAGAATTCAAAAGTCTTATTCACATGAGCCCTCTACACACACACACACACACACACAGAAACAGGTAGCACCTCAGTGCCAAAATAGCAATTACCCATCCTGCAGTGTGAGATAGGAGCTGCCGGCCCCCAGAGCAGCTGCCTGTTATTACTTATGTAAATAACTGAGTGCAGAGTCTCCGTCCAATTTGGGGAAGAATGGCAGTATGTATGTATGTATGTATGTATGTATGTATGTATGTATGTATTTATGTATGTATGTCTGTGTTTGTGCGACTGGGGGTTTATTTGCATAGGAATGGAAATAGAAGGCAGACAGATGTGTGCTTATGTGAGCGGTGTGAAAACAGAGGAGAGGTGAGTGTGGTGGGAGGCAGGGGGACAGACGCTGCGTGGTGGGATACGATTCTGCACACAAATCCACACATTTTTAATAGAAACTGCATTTGTAATAACAGCTCACCACTGCACACACAACCTAATGTGACCTCTGTTTTTAACCCAGCACCAAAGTGAACAGTGGGCAGCTTTAAGCACCTCAGTGATAACTTGTCAGCTGGTGGACTCGAACCTGAAACCTTCCTTAACCACTAAGCCATCACTGCCCCAACAACACCTGAAAGGTATCATTTATTTTTATTAACCAAAAAATTTAAAAGATTAAAGCTCACTGTGAAATCTCAACACTTCAAATGGAAAGGAAGTCAACAGTAGCCGACCAATCATTGACAGGCTCCTGTTTGTCTCTACGCAGACAAATGGATGATAAAGAGAGAAGCCAGCCATGACCTCTGACCTCTCCCCTGTGACCACAGTCACAAATTTAAAGGATTAAAGCTCACTGTGAAATCTCCACATCATATATGTATCATTTCAAAGCAACAACAACAGACGAGGACTGTTGAACACAAACACCAAAGGATTAAAGCTCACTGTGAAATCTCAACACTTCAAATGGAAAGGAAGTCAACAGTAGCCGACCAATCATTGACAGGCTCCTGTTTGTCTCTACGCAGACAAATGGATGATAAAGAGAGAAGCCAGCCATGACCTCTGACCTCTCCCCTGTGACCACAGTCGCTCTGCATTAACACAACATTGAACTGGTGAAGGGACAGTTACAGACACTTAAACAAGGATTTTGTGTTTAGGATATATTTATTATAATTAAAATATAGCGACCTGAGCTGTTGTTATTTTCAATAGGAACAAAGAGAGGATAATTGTAAAATATTAAGAAAATTATTTTTGTGTGTTATTTTCTATGTTCTAAAAATATTGTAGATAATTGGCTGAGTGGCTCAACATCTGTAAAGTAAATCACATTCCAGAAAACCTGAACTAACTATTGTCATGTCTCCAACATCCAGGCTGTGTGTGTGCATCCTTCTACAGCGGCCACTCCACACTGGGTTATCACCGTGGCCCAGTCCCCAGTGAGCAAGTGCTGCATTAAACCACTTCAACCACCGCGAGTCCACTTACAGCTAAAAGCAGGTAACTACCAGCACTGAGTCATATATACCTATGGAGAGGAGTCCCTTGTGTCCCTCCCCCTCCTCCCCCCCTTCCCCGTCCATCCCCCTGCAACCTGACCTACACAACAATCTCCCCTCGCCCCCCCCCCCCCCCCCCGTAAATGGAGTAATCTCCTGGCCCATCGCCCCTTCTTTCTGGATGGTTGAAACCGTACCCCCCCACACACACACACACACAACTTTTAGAGCCCCTCCATCTTGCCCACTCACAAGGCCTACCTATTTCACTCTCCTTCTCTCTCTCCCTCTCCTCCTATCTAATCACAGTCCATTAGCCGCCCCATTAAAATTCTTTTGTCCAATTTGGAAGGAATGCTACCCTCGTGGAAAAACAGAATGAAGCCACAATAGAGCCTTTTCAAATCACACTCGACTTTTATTACTGTGAGTCGCTGAGGAGTGCCACCCACCTCCCAGTCTTCCAGGCTCTCTCTCTCCCTCTCTCTCTCCCTTGTGAGTGTGTGTGAGTTCCTGGTAAAGCTATATTTGTGGGGAGATTTTTTTTTTTTTTTTTAGAAAACGCTATTGTTGTGGATTGTTGCAGAACGCCGCAATTTTGTTTTTTTTAAGTGAATGTGTTTTTGTTTGTCATTGGTGCAGATTGGTCACTGATTGGTCACTGATCAACTTCATAGAATGAGTTGAATGTTAATAGATTGAGTTTGATACATACGTACAGTAGAACGATGGAGATGTCATGCATCAATATTTCAAACTGATGTTTTCTGTATCCCACACTCACCAGCAGAGTTGGACTCACCTGCTTTCCATTGAACACATACTCCCACATATATGCAGAAATATATGAGTTTTGGACCCCTGCTATAAACCAAGGGTTTTCCAACAATAGTATAATCATACAGACATATAATGTAGCCATCACTGGTGCTAACGTGACGTAGCCTTTCCTGCAACCATGCAAATCCCCAACTTCATATGCTGTAAACCAAATGCTGATCTGTGGTGACAGACAGCATCGTTTGGTGTCGTAGAAAATGTACGTTACAAACACATCACTTTCTCTCTCTCTCTTTTTCTGTTTCTATTTCAAATAATGACTTTTTAGTCGAAATATGCTACGTTTCAACATCTGCTAAGTGCTGCGATGAGATGTACTCGGTCTGAGATCCAGCAGATCGTGGGAACCCCTTAAGAGGGGTTGAGTGTGAGAGCCAAAAAGTGAATATTGAGATGTGTGTGGCACACACACACACACATTAAACACAGTAAACACACGCGCACGTCGGCTTATCAGTCAGCATTCTGAGGCACAGGCTGCAGACGACAGGCAGGTATGACAGGCCCAGACAGGCTGATAACAGATAGGACTGGCCTTTTGACAGATGGCTGTGTGAGTGTGGCTGCATGTATATATGTGTGTTTAACAGAGTGGTCACATTGTGTGTGTTGGGGGGGAGGAAGGGGTTCTCTGCCTTATATGGACAAACACAATGTCCTCCTAATGTAAATCATTACGTTGCGTTGAGGAAAGAGTAAAAACTCGTGAAAATACTGAGTTCATATTTCTTGGCCGTGTTGGCATGAGGTACTGACACAATGTCAGTGTTGACTGTGTGTTGACTTAATATAATGTTCACTTCATAAAGTCCAGGCCAGAGAGCATCCATTACTTCAAGAGGAGCATGTTTTTTTGGTCCAGCCAGTTGTAAAAGTGATCAATTACGTGACTAAATACAAAGAAGAAAAATTCAACTTTTAATATTTCTTATATATATAATATGTCTAAATATTGTTCACATTCTGTGGACCCATATAATAACAAGTCACAACCCAAGTCAATAGACAATATTCGTAAACTACTGGGAAACATGACCCCAAAAAAATTCTTGCGACCCACCTGAGGACCACGACCCAGTCTTTGAGAAACAACGCTGTATACAGTACACGTTGAAACATGTGACCTCATGAACATGTCATGTTCATGAGGTCACATGTCAGATATATCAGACTTTATTTTTTTTTTTTAAATCATAGACATTGACAATATTCTTGAAATTCCTCTAAACCTAAGCAGACGTAGACTGGACCAGCTGGGCCTCTGGTCTCTTTTTTTTTTTTTTGATGTTGCATTCCTCACAGGTATGTTTGTCAGTAAGGAGAGATAGATTTCTCATCCCAGTTTTCGGGAGCGAACGGTACTTCATAAGGGCAATTCATCACTTCAGGGCTTATACACAGAGACAACTCTCTCTCTGTGTGTGTCAGGCAGAACAACACATCCAGTCTGGATATCTGTGATTGTCTGAGTGTGTGTGAGACCAATGGAAAAGCTTAGACACAGTTTAACCAGCGCGGCGTGATAACGTTACTGTTGGAAAGAGTCAAACATTCTTACATATCATCACGTTGTAGGTGAGTGCTGCTGTTGGCTGTTTCAAGGTATCATTAAGTGTGTGTGTGTGTGAGTGTGTGTGTGAGAGGCTTCTATTACACCTTCCACACGGTAATTACTAAATTGCGGCTCGTGCTCACAGGAGGGGGGCGCTCCATTATCATCTCTCTAATAACAAAGGTGTAGGTATGGAGGTGTGACTTCATTTCAATGGTAAATGCATCAGACGCCTTGCTGTTTGTCCATTAGCATGACACTTAGGCGCAGATTGTTATAACGAGTGTGTAATAAGTGGGTTGGAAAAAAGACGTGAGAACGAGTGGGTTCAGTTTAAATAACCTCGGTGTGAATGTGAGTGGGTGGGAAAGGTGAAACATAGGAACGATACAGAGATCAACGCTGACCAACACGTGTGTGTGTGTGAGTCTGTGCCACTCTGCGTGTGTTTGTGTGACCAACTGTAGTGTAATTCTAGATGTAATCCAGAGCAGGAAGCAGGGGCAGGGCGTTACAGTAGGTGTTAAAGCTCCACTGCTTCCCTCAAACAGTGCTGTTGACTGTTTCACTCAGTGCCCGCTAATATGGAGCCGCTATTGGGTTTCAGTCCCGCGGTCCGCAGAACGCCTCCAACCGTCATCGCCAGGGCGGAAACCGACCCGAGTGTACACACACTCAAGGTCGTTTTGTGCCAAGCTGCGGGGAATAAACAAGTCAGTTTGTTTATAAAAATGTGAGATCGTAGGCAGCGGTGCATTCAGGAGCAGGACTGGACTCCTCTACGGTGTGTTTGTAGGTTCACGCTGGTGACTGGACTCTGAAGAGGAAAATAAAGTCATTTAATGCAGTCTATGCTCGACTAGTTTTAATCTTTGTGTCAGTTCTTGACAGAAACAGTGCAGAGTTGATGCCTAATAAATAGATATAAAATTGTGTCTGAAGGCAACATGATGTCTTTGTTCCCCTTCTGATAACCATGTTTTCAAAGACAGAAATATTCAGACTGTTATAGTAAAGAGTAAAACAAGCAAAGTTTAGTGAAGTGATGCGTTTGTTCCCCTGCTGGTAACCATGTTTTCAAAGACAGAAATATTGAACATATGCATGAACAAAAGGAACACAATTTGTCTTTTCCCTTTAACCCATCTGTAAACAAGAACAGTGGGCTGCACTCCACGGTGCCCAGGAGCGAGGTAGGGTTTGAAGCACGTCCAACTTTGAACCAGCAATCCTCCAATCATGACCCTGATCCCTAATCGCATCGCTCTACGGCTGAACCATAAGTTAAAAGTCCATAAAAATGATTAAATTATTTTTAATCAAAGTAAGAAATAATAAAGTTTGGGCATCTGAGCGTTCAGAACATATGCTAACTCTGGTACAAAACGCCGTCGCAGCAGATGTTTGGAGCTCACGTATCAAAGCAGATCTGAGTTCTGGCTCCATATGGTTTGGTTTGGTGTGACATTCATCCTGCTTCAGTCTACTTTTGACAATAGGGAAATTGCACAACATGTTATTTCGCCCCAGCCTGAGCACAGTATTGCTGATTCAGTCCAAAGAAGACAATATGATACATCACAACCTGTCAAGAGTTTCCTGAGACACAAGTGCCGCGTTGTAAAAGATGTTCATTTGCTTCCTCCGCTGAAGACTCCGACAGGAAAACCCAGCTGTCTCTACAAAGAACAAGACACATCAACACCATTTCTCTGGCAGCCTTGTCGGAAAGACTCTGGACCACTGGACAACTACCTGTCAACAACATGTCGGTGCTTTGTCACCCACTTCTCTCTTCTCCAGAACTCCCGTTCTCTCCCTGTGTGCTGATAGCCACAGTGGTGTGACGTGGCTGTGATATGCTGGTGTGTGGGTGAGAGGGACTCTGGGACTCTGCTGCTGTGTGACCACTTTTCAATTCTTTTTTTTTTTTTTTTTGTCTCTGTCATTAATACCGACCAGGCCGGAGGATTCATTTACACCTCATTAGAAATAGTTCTAATTACATATGGGGTTTGAAATCTTCCTCGTCTTCCTCTTTACTCCTCACCAGTCAACGATTTCCAACAATGTGAAACAACTCAGTTTTATAATTGTGTAACTCTTGTGTACTTCTTAAATAGTGGGGCGGGCCCCCCTGGGGGGACGCAATGAGGTGTCAGGGGACGGGAGGGGCTTCCAATGCAACATGGCATGCTGCTGGACGTAAGTGTACCGCTACTGTAATGCTTGATTGATACCAAGCCTCTAGCCACTAGGTGGCAGCAACTTATATAGTGGTTTGTACGGATTATAAATATACATGTTATGAGGTTCTCAACAGTATTTTTATTTGCAGGGGTGTGGGTCGGTCAGAGGGGGTGAAAACATTTCTGTCCCCAAGGGGGAGCATGACAGAAAATAATTGAGAACCACTGTTGTAACTGAATAAACACAGTTGAAGTATTGAAATTCTCTTACAAGAGATTTCCACTCTGGTAATCGTCAGGTGAAACTTTTTTGGGTCTAGAAATCGTTGCTGTTTAATGTCCATTCATTCATTCATTCATCTTCTGATGCTTCATTTTTCTGTGTACACTGGAACAGGGGCAGCCCACACCCTGGACAGTCCGCCAGTCACTCCCAGGGCAGGCGACCACTGACACTAACATAACACACACAACATCCACAACATCTGGTTCACTGAAAATGTCCAGTAAAACAAATGGCCTGTGTTTTTTGGACTGTGAGAAGAAATGCAATGCTTGGCTGAAACTCATGCACATACTTGTAAAATATACAGTATGTATGAGCCGAAAGACAGAATATTGGACCATGACTCGTCTTGCTGTAAGGCAGGAGCACAATCCCTTCATCCACTGTGTGGCCCTGCTGTTCGATCCTACATTTAGACACTGAGTCATGATTTTTTGTCACCAACCACTCTGGTTCTTCTGGTCTGTCTGAATGCGAAATACCAGCTTGTTTACACTGCCCCAGTGGTTATTTTCAGGTACTGCAGCAGCAGATCACAATCAGTAAGGAGTAAAACAGACGTAGAAGACGTTTCCTAAAAAATGTTGATCTATGGAAATCATATTTTCTTTGATTTTTTTTTTACGTGCCTAGATGAAACACTGAACAGTACTGAACCTTTAATTGAGCATTAAATAATAATGGGTAATTATGGCAGGACTCCAGATAGACGTATTATTAACTTCTGTCTGTCATGACTTTAGGTCAAGAAAACCTCTGTAATTTTAAATGTAAACACATCTTCATAAGAGATCACATGCTCTCCGTATTCAAATGTAAAGTATTATGTGAAATATAGCTCTGCCATAAACCGTCTAAATTTGCCAAATTTCCAAGTGCTACAGACATTGAATGTGATCTTTTACAGTAGTTCTGAGACACATTGCTTGTATCTGACGTGGTGGATTGATGGATAAAGTCCCCGTCTGCCCCAGTGTGTATTGGAAGGAAGTTGGAGGTAGGGGGTGGGTCGACAAAAAGGCCAAGCTGTGAAGATCATTGAGAGCTAACGGCTTGATAACGAGCGGACAATTGGAGCTGGTGTTGAGGCTGGGGATGGGGTGGGTTGGGGGGGACACTTTGTTCACGCAGTGTCCAGACTCATTGGGAGGTGAAGTTGGTCTAATGTAAAGCTGGTACTGAAAGATGCTTCATCAGCAGGGGTAAAGGAAGAGTCAGCACTCCTGTAAAAAAAAAAAAAAACGCACACTAAATACTCCATTTAGTCCCCAGCTAAATGAGTGTTGTGTGCTCAACTAAAGTGTGCAGATATCCTTCTCCTGTGGTAGACAACATAACCCTGCTCTTTGTTGCTGCAACGACCCAGATCCCCCCAGAGAGGTCATTAAAGTTTCATCTCATCTTAAGTGTTGCAAAAGTTGCCGTGGAAGCATAATGTATAGCTCGTTCATTTTCAGAGAGAACACATGAGATTACACAGTCTTTTCGGTCGGGAATTAAGTTGTTCTTCTGGATCATGTGAAGCCGAGTGACTATCAAACACCGAGTCGTTACGGTGTCTGTTTCCACAATGGGGAAAAAATGAGGCTGCATGACATCATTTGTCAACTGCCTTTTCTTTGGACGTAGTCACGGAACGGGAGAAGACAAAGTACCAAAGTCCACAGGAAGGTTCCAGTAAAAATATGACATCAGTGTAGGTAAACATTCAGGGTTCCTGCAGCTGGGGTTTGCTCTACTCCTTCTTTCTGCCTTTTCTTCTTTTACGGTCTTCCTGTTTGTCCGTCTTGGTCTTTATTTGAGGAGGTGGTCCTCATGCTGGTGTCGGTACACTTGGTCAGTAAGTGAGGGCTGGCAGAATACACGAGAACCACATACGGGGTAGAGCTGGAATGGTGGGTGTCATCGCATCATCTGGCCACTGCTGTGCTTTACAGTTGAGCTGAACTCTTTTTAAAACATGTGATGACAAAGAATGTGGAAACTGGAGAAGCAGAACAACTTTGCGTGAGTTTGAGCAGCTTCCACAGTAATCTGTCCCACCACATTACAGTCAAAAATGACCATTTTCACCAAATAAATCAATGTTTTACAGGCAGAAAATCCCCAGACTGAAAAGTAAGTATAGCTGTTGCTTTAAAAATAATAGAGGGGCAAAGGCTTAAATCCCAGGAACAAAACAAAGACTCATGGTTTTTTCATCTTTTTTGAACACATTTGACTGTAATTAATTGTATTTTCCTGTGTATGTTACGAATAAACCCCTAAATCTAAATCATTTCTTGCCACTTTCACATCTATCTATCTATCTATCTGTCTGTCTGTCTATCCATCCATCCATCCATCCATCTATCCATCCATCCATCCATTTCATCATCAGTTTTTCTTTACATGCTAAAGCAACTTTGAACAGATGTATTTACATCTTGAAGAAAAAAAAACACCTCAGGTTCTTTCGTAATGCCCACACAGGTTTTAAATTTGCTGAGTTCCAGTTGAATAATTTTTATAAATAAACCTGAACCAGTAGAGCTGATGAAGATTTCCCCCACGTCAGTGACAGCGAACAAAGTGGCAACTTCCCGGGCATTTATCAGCAACATGTCCCAACTTTTCAGCCAACTACTGGAAGCTCAAAGTGAGAGGCTCGTGCATGTTGTACAACATATGAGGCATGAACCCGTGGCCTCAGGCTGCAGAAATTTAAATCAGACGTTGTTATTGTAGGAGGCCAGGGAGGAGAACAGATGCTTTGCTTATTCAATCATGCATGTCACGCTCCAGACTTCTCCCTGGCTGCTGCACTCAAACCCCTCACTGCCGGCCCTAACACTGTGCTCCACACACTCTAACCTGCTGTCTGTGTTTGTCTGGGTGTATGCGAGTGCGCGTCGCAGAAAAGATACATCTGGCCCAGGGTGCTGATCTAGGCCAGGTGGGGGAAGACCCTATCACTGTTGTCATGAATGTGACAACAAACTGTCAGGCACCTAACACCCCAAACTGACCCCACAATGAGGAGGAAATGTGTTTGTTGATATATTCTTCTGTTTGTGTGTGTGTCCTTCATCTGCCTATCCACAGAAGCCCACCCGTAACTTGGCACACCGGGGCAATCAACGTGCGGGGCGGAGTGTCGGAGAGTGTCGGAGGGGTCTCTGCCTACCATGACAGATGGGAGTGGGGTCATCGGAGAGCCAAGCTTTTCATCTAACACTACTTGGAGCAGAGCGGTATAACACACACACACACACACCTACACATCAGCGTCTGTGTTATTGAAAGTAAATGAAAACATTTATCTTCACCTTATCTTTCACATTTAACGACGAGGATTTTCAGACTGATGTTTATCCTTGAATGCATTAAAAAGTAATACATCACTGGTGAAACTGAGTCCGTTTAGAAAGGACTCACTGTATGAAGTCAAAATGGCACTCGGTCCATGGTTGTCCAGGATAGAAGGCATTAAAGTGCACCACCAACGACAGCAGTAATAATAATAATCTGCCTGATTTTTAAAATCACGAGTCACATCTGAGAAAACAAACAAAGATTTAAATAATCAGAATCAATTTTTAAAATATTCTTCAGTCGGTGATTCCCAGCATTTTGTTTTTGGCTTGTGACCCCAGCTGGACATCACAAAGTTCTGGCAACCCCAGAAACATGTCAGTCATGTGATCGCAGCCCTGAATCAAGATCTCAAGATTTATTTGATTTATATACATGAAATTTGTTTTTTTTTTATCATAACCTAAAAAAGAACAATAATTTTTAAACAATAGTTATATCAGTAAAACAGGCATTTCTACCAAAATATTAAACTGTAGTCTACATCAGTCACAAACCTTTGTGAGGTAAAAGTCTGACTACACCAAGTTATTATTTTCTCCATCTTTGACTTTCTGTGGAGTTCCACCTTACACTCTTTACCTTTTCCACAGTGGAGTTGTGACTAAAAGATGGTTCAGTGTTGAAGCCGGTTTATAATGGACATCGGAGACATTAAAGGTTTGACTTTGTGGCACACACTGAGAAAAAGATCAGGAAGAAAAATGACTAACATGTATTACTCCAGGCTGAGAGCCATTAAAGAAACATTTTGTAGATAATTACGTGGATGTCCTCCGGGGTAATACATTAGGTCTACAGTCTAACTACTTCACTAATGAAAGAGAAGTCTCACTGCCTGGAGTGCCCACACTGATTTTCTGAAGCTGAAAATAAACACTTCCCATTCTTGGTCTTTCGCAAATAAACCAACGCGGAGAGCATGAATGTATCATGTCCAAAGAAGGACGTGGTTCTCCCGTGCTCTGTGCTTACGGTATTTCACCAGTGAAGAGCAACATTAAAGAAAAATGATTCATGACTTTCACCTGGTTGAGCACTTATCAGCTAGTAAATACTAGAGGAAAGTTCCACAGGTCAGCTTCCTTCTTCTTCATGCCAGAAGTTGTTTGGCTTTATCTCTGGGAAATGTATTCATGTTACAACAGAAGTTTTTATGCTGTGGTGTCAGCAACAAAATCCAACAACAACTAACTCCTCTGTGAAACTCCCTGCAGTGCCATTACTCAGTTTTGGTTGGCATGGAGGAATAACTCTGTGACTCCCTGCAACACCCTGACCAGCAGGGATGCTGCTGCTGCTGCTGCTGCTGCTGCTGCGGTGGCTGCCAGCCAGTCAGCACAATGAGCCCTGGCCTCTGGTTTTCACTGCTTGGACCCTGATAACAAGAAGCCTGTGATGCTACAACACTCTGGTTTGTTAACCGTGCATATTATTCTATAAAAAGTTTGTTTGTGAAAATGCGGCAGAGAACTCCGGCTACAGCAGGCCGAGCTGCAGTCACAGCTCCAGGCTGGATGTCAGTCAGTCAGAGTTTTCCTGTATCATCCATCATGACGGCACAGTGTATTGTGACTTGCATGCAATGTCAACTTGATCCAAGTATAATTAAAGTTTTGTATACACTATGTGCCCTTCAGTCACTTTCAACAATGATGTAACACGATAGGCGTTTGTTTACTGAAACCTAGTAGGGCTGTAATACTTTCCCATTCCACAATACTTTTCTTTTATATTATACCTTTCAGTCTCTAAAGAACCTGATACGCCCACAGGGATGTATGAAAACACGCAATGCTTTCAATTGTTGTTTTTGTATGATACCAGTGACAATGCACAACTGTGTTACAAGTCAAAATAGGCAACTGAATCTGTGGGTCAGGCAATGTAGCTCAGGTGGTGAGTGGGAGAGTATTTCCCAGTGGCAGATTTTTTCAGAATTTTAGGTCCATATATAAAAGCCTTAAAGTATTCCCAATTGATTTATTAATAATAAGAATAAGACCTAACTGTGAGGTCTGTCTGCCTTCCTTCCCTTCAGTCTGTTTATTTGGGTTGATTGGTGTAATCACACTCACCTCTGTCCTGCGTTTCCATGGTAACCAGTCTCACTCGTGTCACCTGGTGTTGTCTCCTTCACTCAGACCTGTCTGTTCATTGGTCAGTGTTCCTGGGTCGTTGTGATGTCATGTTCGTTCCTGTCAGTTGCTCCTGTCATGAGGTTTGTTTCATGCTTCTTGTTCTTGCCCAGACATTCTATAATCACAGATATATATATATATTTCTGTTAAATAACCTTCTTGCATCTGATCTTGTACCATCATTTGGTCCTACCTCCGTCCTGAGATTCACTCAACACAACACTAACTAAGAATGCGAGAACATAACGATTAATGCAAAGACTTTAATGGATTACAAAGGCCATTAGATAGATGTTTGTCCGTCCTTTGTACGGGAGTTAAGCAGGTAAAGACGCGATGAAAGGGAGAACATTAACCAATTTTCAACAAGCCTCGTGTGTTCATTACAAACAAAACGTCTTTTCATTGACAACCGTGCCGTCAAATCTTTCCTGCGCTAATAAGAGCCTTTGAGCTGATGTCCAAACACAGATGACAGCCTCTTTGTGTCTCTAAACGACCCCCCCCCCCCAAACAAATCCCACCGGCTCCTTGTGAAATCCATTCATGAAGCCATTAATGTAATTGTGTCGTATGACATGTATGAAATCAACAACAATGCTTCTCTGCTTAAGCCCATTTAGTGAAGTGATGGAGTGACACGGGGATTTGAAAGAGGACGTGGAGACAGAAATGAGAGGAGAAGGAGGACAGCTGCGATGACAGAGGATTGTGGGAAATGAAGACAGGTGGGTTACACACACAGAGGAAGCACGCTGAAGATGATGAAGACCTACTTCACAATGAAATGACAAAGAAATTATAAATGAACAGCCAGACGAATGGCTTGGATGGTGTGCATGGAGACAATGTCGGCGTTTAGGAAGCGAAATTAATCATGCCAACCAGCTGATGGTCTTAATGAGAACAAGTTAGCGTAGCTGCTACGAATAATTAGCAGGTAAACAATAGATTTATCAGTTGTCAGAATTCTACAAAAAAGGAATTCTACTTTCAAAAGTGTCAATTTTTCCTACAACTTTTCTAGGACTATACTACGACAACAAGAGCAGTTTGTGAAGGAACTCAAGTCAAAGTAAGATTAAGAACAGCAGCTTAGCTAACACGTGCACTAGCATGCTTGCAGCTAATTTTCCTGTCCTTACAGTTGTCCTGAATTGCAGCTCATTTTCCTGTCCTTACAGTTGTCCTGAATGTCTTACACACGTGCAGCACATGAATCAAAGAGGAGAAACAGCTGACCAAGCAGCTGAGCCGCCGTCCGTGGAGAACCTTCACGCAGATACAAGGTCAGCGCTGCACCACGACACCTCATGTCCTTGTCATGTCTGTGTTACGGTGTGGAGCCAGCGTTAATGATAAGCCAGCTCTCTCTCAGGGCTGAAGTCATTTACCAGTCCTGGTCGTCGGCCTCATTCCTCAGTCATGAACACAGCCACCATCCCTCACTGGCACATAACCCAGAGAAGCAGAGACAGGTCATATTTATCACACTAAGCCAGTGGTAAATGACTCGGGCCACAAGACTCACATGCACACTCACACTCACGTGCACACTTCCATGATCAGTGAAGGCGGGAGCGGCATGTCTGACACGAGGCGCTGTTAAAAGAATAATAGCAGCACGGAGCTCACACCTAGGGTTCGATGCCAAAAAACTTTCTAATTATGATAGTTGGTTTTGAGAAATTACCTTAATCAAGTTATGAATATGCATTTTACTGTGAGCAATGTCAGCTGGAAATTTGTCACACTTTAGTTTGTGACTGAACGCCTTTGAAATGAGCAGCATCAGCTGAATTCTTAGTTGACTTTTAATTAAAAACACATGGCATTTCAAAAAAAGTAAAAAAAGAAAAAGATGATCGTGTGCCTTTTGAAGTGTGGCTGTGTAAGGTATTAACACAGTTTCAGATGTCGCTCTCTCTGACTTCCATGAGACAAATCCAATTAAGAATATCAGAGATTTCAGCTCACAGAGCCTGAATGGAGGTTAGTTCACTGCTGCTGCTGTGTTTGGTACCGTTGTTTTAGGGTAAAACCTGAACTTTAACATTAGAACATTTATTCATCTGTAAAATATTGAATCCATTTGGTGATTTATGATTAAGAGAAATAAAGAGTTCCTGTCACTACATCACCACATGTGATTGACAGTCCAACAGGAGTCCAACCAGGCTGAGACATTGTTGTAGTTTCCCAATGTGTTGACGGTGAACGTCAGTCACAGAGTCATGTGGCCAGGTTTTCTAATGCAGTGTTTCCCAAACCTTTTTTTCTGGGGACCCATATTTTAACACAAACCTTTATCACAAACATTTGCGACCCAAGTCAATAGACATTATTCATAAACTCCTGGGAAACATGAAGCAAGATGACCCCAAAAAAATCTCTTGCGACCCACCTGAGGGTTGCGACCCAGTCTTTGGCAAACAATGTTATCCATCCATCAAGATTTTAGCCTTAATTCCTGCATGAGGAAAATCTATCTATCCATCCATCATCCATCCATCCATCCATCCATCCATCCAAGCAGAAACATATTCTGTTCTGTGCACTTGCCTTGTTATCGATAATACAAGTGTTAAATTCACCAAGTGTCTCAATAAACCCTCACTAACAAAGGTTCTAATGTCCCATGACTCCAAGTAACACCTGAGGAGGTTAACACCTCAACAACAGTACTGTGGCAGTAATGTGATAATTACGACCAAAGGCTAAACATTAGCAGCCTGTTTGGACTTTGTCATTTTTTGGCTAAACTAGTGTGAAACTGCATCATCGGACACTGTTTCTTCTTGGAACTTTCCCCTGGCTGGTTGTGATCCTTCTAGTTATAGTTGGAATGCTGACGCCTACTGCTGAGTGTTCTGACCTTTACAGTAGTAAATATTTTCCTCCAAGAAACTTCCAGATTATTAGGCATAAATGAAAGGAAAATAAACATTTGTGTTGAGAAAGAAATACTTCTCATTGAAAGGTAGATCGAGACGTAATATTTCAGATTTCGTCCTAATCATCTAACACAGTCAGTGATGTCACTAACAGCAGACTGTTACCGTGTGCTAATCCTCTTCCTTACTTTCACTCACATTAGCCATAGTGTCCACCAGCTCTGTCACCGTCGCCCCGTGAGGCTACGTTCCAGTCCCAGTGTTAACTGCAGCCATATGGCACTTCTTAGAGCAGCGGTACTTGGTGTCAGTCACACCGCAGCCTTGAGGGACGGGCCCACAGGCAACTGACAGATGACAATTACGCGCCGTTAAAACCAGCTGACAGTGGCAGAAAGATACAGATAGAGACAACGAGGTATCGGCTGTAGCTCGCAGTGTAGATCTTTTCATTTTCGCGGGGCATGATGTACCTTCTGTTATTCAGCTGTGCAGGAGAACTTAGCAAAACATGCATTTCCTTTGTTTTGTCTATAAAGAAACCCTGAAAACTTGGTGAATTGTATACAGAAAATGTCTTTTCCGATTCAGTTGACTTCATTTTCCGATCAATAGCGCAGACATTCTATTTCATGCATGTGTGTGACGCCCAGCTCCGGGACAAAGGGGAGACAACAGGGGACACTATCGTCCTCATCAGAGACCATGCCGTTCCTTATTGACTTCTTCCTCACCCCCTCCCTCATCCCCTCCCCCTGGACTTGTTTTGCATCAGAAAAGACCTGGCATCTCCAGATGCCCCCCCCTCCCCTCCCCCGCCCCGTGTGTCTGCCTTAAGTCACTTCTCAAACACTTGATTACGTTTTTGGATGTTGACCCTCTTCACCAATATCACTAATCCTCCTCAGGACACAGCACTTCTGTCTGCAGCCTTAAGGAGCTTACGGAGCTCCTCTGAGTGGCACAGGTCTTGGTTCTTAAAGTGACACTAAGCCTCTGTGACGAGGCCGAGGATTTTTGGGGGGCAGAGGGCTCCCAATTACTGCAGTTTTAAAAACTGTAAGGTTAAAAAAGAAAGGAAGTGCAGACACGGAGGCTGTACATAAACCTTTGCACATCAACGTGAAGCCTGTACACACACGAGTGTGTGTGTGTGCGTGGCTCCTAAAACCACACAGGGAATAATCAGTCTTAATTTGTGCGCTCTGGTTATTATTTATTATAATTTCCTCTCAACTTTCTTTTCTCCTGGATGCACAGACAGGAAGCAGCTTGTGATTATTAAGAAATTAAGACAGAATGCCGGGGTCACCCAGGGAATGTGTGTGTGTGTGTGTGTTTATATGTGTGTGTTTATGTGTTGTATTTGCATTTTCTCTCGCGGCTATAGGGAAAACTGTGAGCAAAGCAGAATTTTAAAAATGAATACAGCTGTCAGGAATATTTGAATGATGAAATGCGGCGTGGATGTCGGCACAGACTTGAACCTGTCAGTCGTTTTCACCTGGAATGCTTCTAAATAATGCAGCTCTGTCAGTGCACACCAAGTGAATGGAGCTATTATTCCAACTTAGCACCGGTCTGACCTGGATGACTTCAGTTCTATGCAGATGACTGTAACATTTCTGCTGCTGTTGCACAACAACAAGGTAGATACAGACAGGGATGCAGTAATCCAGTATTTGTCCTCAGTGATTACACTAACGATCCGCTGAAGACGTCAGTTTAAAGGTGACTCATTTGGTGACGTTGGAAACCAAAGGTGCTTCTGTTACTGATCATAACTCTGCAGTTACAATTAGTGGCAGCCTAGAATACTCCTTGAATGTTCTTTTAATTGTGACTTGGCCAGAGAAGTCCATATTTTTCCATGTTCCATAGCTGCGGGGCCCCACGTGTACTCTGCTCACACATACAGTACTCGTACTCATACAGTATGTCCATTTATAGTTAAAATACTCTTTTCTCTCTACTGCACAACAGATCCCATAATTTATACCAAGCTATATTTCATTCCAACATGAGACATTTACAGCGAAGACGACCTTTAGGAATAAAGATGTTTAAATGTAGTCTTTGTAGTTGAATTTTGAGTGATTTAATGACAAACTATGTCGACGCTGACGTTTGAACCACAGATGTAGTAAAACTCATTCAGAGGAAATAACTGTACACAAAAATCTCATCTTATCTGTTGTGGGTTCAATTAAATTAAATTGTTTGAATAGGCAAAAATAAAAAAAAATAAAATATATATATATATATAAAATAATAATAAAATATAAAATAAATAAAAAATAAATCTTGTCCTTTAATGTAGAACCTGCAGTAACAAAAGCAGAAAAAGTGAAAGGAAAAGGATATATAAAAGATATCTCTATAGAAATAACAATAAGGTTATTAACAACAATAAGTGTTTAATGTACTATATTTCGTGTTCGAGCAGTTCCTGTTCCAGCGGAGCCAGTGTTTAGAGGCAGCAAAGTTAATGAAACGAAACGTGGGATTCCGAGAAATTGTAATGGAATCATCTTTTCTAACTGCCTCTCAGATACACCCACCAGTGTGGCTTAGAGACTTCCCTTTGTCCACCATTTAAAATCCTCTCCCGGAACACGCCCATACAGTCCTTTCAGTGCGTTGGTTCCAGACAGTTGGGTTTAAGGCCCTGCTGGGGCACAGGTGTGTTGGGAGGAAGGGGGGATGTTGATTGTGGTTTTGCGTGGGCCGGGGAGGTTGCTCCCACCCAAAGTCCCCTGCAGCTAGAAGTGCTTACAACAATTCTTTGTGCGTCTCCCCCGTGCACATGTACACAAAGAGGCGCAGATGAGGCCCATGAACAAATACAGACGCCCTCTTGTGTCTTATACCCTGAAGGTATCTACGTTAGCCCCAGAAAGCTGGGCGTTTAACTGTCCATTGATTTTCTTTTCTCCTTCACTGCACATCTTCTTTGAATGCTGTGTTTGCTCCTGTGCATTCCTTCCATTCAGAGAGATTAGAGCGGCCTGCAGACGTTCTCGATGCCCCCCATCACTCTGCTCTTTTTTTTTTTAGCCCAACTTGAAAATTACACGTTCCCCAATTTGTGCTTACCAACACCAAACCCAACTTGAAAATTACATGTTCCCCAATTTGTGCTTACCAACACCACCCCCACCCCCACCACTGCCAGAGTAGCACCAGAACTGACATTAACTGAGGCTAATATTAGTGTCATCTCAGGTCGATTTCAGGATATGATCCAGATATGGATATATTTCCAGCTGTGTCTTCAACGTTCCTAGAGCAGGGAAAATCAATATTCCCACTGGGGAAGTTCTGTAGTCTATTTTGGGACCATTAAAAAAAGCCTGCTCCAGCATGTTGGTCTGTGATGTAACGTTAAAAGATCA